TTAGCAAAGGCTGTCCTGTTGAACGGTGTCTGTCAGTGACCACCCCATTAGCATTACATAAAATTTGTCAGCAAATGTGGCTGACAGAGCCATCCTTTTCCTGTTCCACTTAAACCCAGCTTGCGTGTCGACTCTGATGGGCAGTGCACCATCTCCATATGTCAGTAGAACACTTCCAAGAGCCCCATTAGGTGACCCTTCCTGAAACTGGCGCTCACTCACAGCACAGGCTGCGTACGAGCAGCTGTTTCCTTGTGGTGTGTGTGGGTAAGTCTCAATTTTCCAATTCCATACAGAAAAGTAAAATTAAAAATGCTGTTATATACAGCAGATAATTTTTCAAAGAGAGGAAAGTAGACTCTGAGCTTTCCCTATACTTTGATTTATGGTCACAATAATGTTTTGGAGGTCAAAATGAGTAGCAATGCCAGAAGTATTGAAGCGTATATTGATCCAAGACCCACCAAGATGCTAATTCAGTTCTTTACAAAGACCAACAGCAGTGTTTTACAGCGGTCAGTGATCTGAAATATGATCTCTTACAGGATAAAAATAAAGTTGTGTAACATTGAGAATTATTTATTATTTGCCTTTAGACAGATAAGCTTACATTTGGCCTCCTTGAAAAACAAACTGTAGGCCTGAGCACATCTTACCAGGCAATCCCCATCATTCTGCAGGAGAACCCTTCTCAGTTTTACCACTTCTCCAGGCTCTAGGATTTACAAACTACCAATACAGATTTAGTCTTAAAAAAAAAAATCTGTACAAAGTCTAAAACTGTTTTTTGAAGTGCACTAGAAATATGGTCCTTCTCCCATGATTCCCCTTATATAATTTTATGTTGAGATCACTTATGGAACTATTTTTATTCCATTGAACATGCAATTGTTGTTCATAAATTGAGTGGTCACACAACAGAAGCAGCCACACATGAGTCACCTGAGTTCTTCTAATCCACAGGAAATTCTCCAGAAGAGCCCTGATGATGACTTCTAGTGCAGTGTCATGTTATGAATTACCACAAGCAGATCATGACTACGTCAACCTGTCCAGGCCCATGTATTCTGTTAGATCGCAAAAAGAATTGCATCAGGATGTACCCTAGATGTACCCTCGATGTACTCTCATCCCTTTCAGGATTCTCTTTCCATTTTTTCATTGTATAAAAGTCCTAGAGCAAATATTTTTGACCATTTTCAAATGTGTCTGCACATATCCTTGACTTTCTTCTTTAGTGATTTAAAAGGCCATCCTTAGGAACATTGCATACAACACTTCAATCAGTTTGATGTTCAGATTTGTCTTCCTTATTTTCACACTGTAATCTTGCTAATAATTTTAAATGTGTCCTTTTCTTTCTGCTGCACACATTCTGCTTGTCTGTCTATCTGTAGGCACTGAACAGAATACCTCTGGGAACTGTCTTCTGTCTGAGGAAACACTGCAAGTCCTATGCTTTTTCTAGTTTTTACAGGTTTTGGCTTGCTTTCTGGCCAGTCCTTTCCTTTCTTGAACCTGGAGTTACAGTGGTTCCCTAGGCAAGTTGTGAGTGCATACCAGCAAGCTGCAAGAGTGGCTTCCTTCCATGGAGGACGACAACCCCAGCCTAGGCAGGGCAGTGATCTCTCCAACAAAGGCACAGAAACACGAAGCTGCGCTGGTGACCATAAAAGGTTGTGTTGACTGTCCAGCAGCCATCAGGCACACGCAAGGTGACAAGTCAGATCCCAGGTCAAAGACAAGTGAAGAACCTAGGAGCAGGCTGGGCACAAGCCCACCTACAGCAGTGCGCAGACAATGCCCAAGATGGAGCTTGGATACCACATCTGGACCTATGTGCTGAGTGTGCAAGCTAGGCAGGGCTGGGCTTCGGGACCCTTTGAGTCCCATCAGCCAGCCTTCCTCATCTTCATAGATCTTCCTCAGTGTCACCACAGCTCTTTCTCTCATACTATTTCTGTCAACAGCAACTTGCAGCTCATCTGTGCTTCATGCATATGAATCCAGCAGAAAACATGAATGAAGGCAATAGAAGAGAAGAACATGGATGAATTGTTCCAGATCAAAACCACTGTTTGTCACCAGCCTATCACAGTGTCCTATGTAGAAATATGTCTAGGAATACAGCATGCAGACATCCCGCCTGGGTATCCACACTGAAGTGTGAGACTTCTAGTATAGTCCAAGTAGGAGAGAGTGAGCGTCTTTCTGAAGGCAAACTGCACCTACTGTCTTTTAATCAGATAACACTTTTTTGGGGTAAATAATATTATGCATAGGTAGTGGAAAAGATCATTAGCATTGGGAAGAACAAAAACCCAAGTGAAATGAGTCTTTTATTTAGTCAAAATATTTTTATTTGGTTGTATTTAGCAGAAGGTTTGCTTTCCTCCTTTCTCCTCCCCCCTCCCCCCCTTGTTTGCTCATTATTTCTGATTTCTTATGCTTCCATCCTTTCAGTACAATATATTAACACCTTGCACCTCCTCAGCATTTTCCAGTTAAGGCTCTCAAAGCATTTACAGACATGAGTTAACTAATCCTCTCAACAATCATTAGCAGTAGGGAAGTGAAATGATCTGCATCTGCAGAGAGAAGTTAAGATCAACTTTTTCTCAAGGTTTTTCCAGTGTCCAGCTTGTATTAAACTGGGCTTGATGAACATGTGTCCCTGCAGTTGTTCTTCATGCTTTTGAAAGAAAGACTGAGTTTGAGCACTCAAAATCTAAAGCTATTTATGAAAATCTTTCTTTAGTAACTTGTTCAAGGTCACACGGTGAGCGAGCAGTGGAATCCAAAACCGGGAACAAGGCATAACTTCCAGTTATGTGCTATACTATGAGACGTAACTCTTTGTAACTTACCTTTGGACTTTAAAACTACAATCCATTCCCTTCTCCTTACACATTATCCTCTACTGACCATTTCCAGCAGACTTCAACCTCAGGTACTTACATTCTGCGTTTTACTAGCAAGTTTTACATAAGGGTCTCCACAGTCATCAATTGTATACAGTATACAATGCCTTCGGGTGACTGTAATGAGCCTTAATGGAAGAAAAAGCAAACCCAAACAAAAAAAAAAAAACAACCTAACAAGCAACAGGTGTGGATTTTATCTTTGAGTATTTAAAGCAAACTTCAGAGTTTATGGAAAAATCTAATATGTGATTGTTTTAAGGAAAACACCCCCATCCCCAAACCTGGTTCAAATAGAAGACTAAATATTAACTTGACATTAACACCTTATCAGTAGTGCATCTGCATAGAGATTCTTCATAAAAACCTGCAAATTCACAGTTATACCTTGCAAATAGAAGTACTGTGACTGTTCAAGCAAACAATTATTTTAAAATACGAATTCAGTTCATGTAAATGGTATCTTCACGTTAGCTCCATCAGAAGATACTGGCATGAAACACAGATGAAACTTTTTCTTAGTTAGGTTAACACTGAAAATTCAAACAGTCAGACAAACACAATGCAAGTATTTTAACAGAAAGAATATAAAACTTCACTGGCTTAAAAAAGATCTAGATGAGAAATCTTGATTACTCCAATGAGTTGCTAGACCCTACATTTAAAATGATGCATTTACAGAACTATTCAGATGAATTAGGCTTCTTCTATATCAGTAAATATTGGAATTCTGATAGATTGTGCAAGTATTAAAAAATATTAACATTTTAAATGTTAACATTACAATTTTAAATAGCCTTGCAAGTGCAATGTTATAAATATAAAAAAACAACCTCAGAGCTACAATTTTATATAAGTTATATGAGTAAATGAAAGTGCTTTTCAAGTATTTATGTTCATTTACAGCTGGGTTCTCTTGTCTAAGTCAGTGCTCAGATGGTACAATTTAAATATCAACCTTTTTAAAAAAAAATTTGTATGCATGCATTTTACTGGATGGAATAAATGGTTTCATTTGCAGAAATGTGTGATAAATATTTAAATACAGAATATAATTTGTGATAAATATTTAAATATGGAATATTATAAAATGTGAGTATTATATTTTGTTGTTATCTATTAAAAATAAAATAGAAAGAGATCACATCCTGATAGGTGTGTGATAACCTGATAATGCCATAGGAGCCCTTGAGCCATACAGTAATGGTTAATTCCATCAAAATCCCAAATTATGATATGCTAAATAGTTGTTCTTCAGTAGAGGCAAAAGCATGTGATCATAATAAAAGCCCAATATCGTCAACTTTTGAAGAATTTAATTGGTCTGTGTCAAAAGTCATGGAATCTAATGAAAACTTTCCAACACTTGCAATTAGTCAGCCCTTAGCCGTAGTCACTCTGGAGAACACAGCTAGTGCCTGTCACCATTGTACTGCCTGCCCAGTGCCTGGTGTGTACAGCTCCCTTTCTGGCTAGTCAGGAACCATTATTGCTCTAGTGATACAAAAGAAGATTGTGTTCCTGTTCGTCAGCCAGAGGAAGGGTGAGGTAAGCGGGGAGATGCTTATTAGACAAGAAAACCAAACCAAAACAACCCTAAATGAATCAATATATATTTAAAAGTGCACTGAAAAATCTTTCCTATTGAACCCTATCTTTCCTAAGTGCCAGATTTTAATCTCAAATTATATCCACTTTGAACACTGAACGTATGTAAGCTGATATTAGAGCATTTAGTTCGTCTTGCAGTTTGAAAAGCACATGACACAACGCAGCATTAACGTCTTTCATTAAAGATCTGGCAATGCCATAGTTTTATCATGCAGATGCAACTTAGAAATGACATAGTTCAGGAGAAGCCCCTGCAGACTGCCATTACAAGCCTTCTCCAACTAAGTGCTTTGTCATATGCCAAAGACAGAAGTCAAAACGTTGCCCTACCTCACCACAGTGCTGCATGGGCAATTTATAATGTTCTTTCCAGATGCAGTTGGACTTTAATAAATTATAGCTCTTCAGAGTTAGGCAGTTCTTTGTAATAAAAGCAGAGTTTCATGTTCCATCAAGAGAGGCCACTGTTTAGACTGGTCTCTTCATGCAGACCTGACAACGGCTGATGATATTTTCTAGTTCTCCTGCTTTCAAGGTCTGTGGAAGAGGTCTCCTAAAAGAAAGAAAAGAAACATTTACTTTTTTCTTTTAAAAACAGGGAGAGACAATGCAACTTTAGATATGGAATTATTGACAAAAACATTGAAATCCTTGGCTCGCTTAAGGTATCTTTGTTCTACAGAACGACCCTAAACCTTACAAATGGAGATGTCTAAACTAAGGGGACTTACTAGGGGAGCCCCCACATGTTATGCAGGCAGTTATTGTCTCCTCGGGCACTTGCAGCATGGATGTGATGCATATGGATGCAGGGAAGTACAGTTTACCTGAACATTCTTCTTGGATTTAATGATGCCAACCAAAAGCTGTAGGAATTTGTGTAGTAGTTGCATGTCCCCCTGCCATGGCACTCTATGAATGGGATGGCTCGAAATTCTTCCAGACAAGATCCAGGAGATGCCAATGCTTGGCCAGAAGCTTCTGAGCCGGCACTTGTATACTGTAACCATCAATACATTTTTAATGAGAACTTGTCCATCAGCTTTTAGTAAACTGCAGGCCAAAAAAAAATCTCTTTCTAAAACATACCATATGTTCTGTGGTATATCTTGGACAAAACAAAATGAAATCAGATTAGTTTTATCAAACTTACAATGAAGCACAGAAGCCTTATGAAAATTCAAGCAGTTACAGCCCTTCTTAAGTCCCCGCAAAGGCCTTTTTCTGCTCCATGAAAGGGCATGAAACTGTAACCAGTGCAAAGACTAGATAAGTAGCTGTAGCTGGCTTCTGTCCAGTTGAGGACTACAGTAACTGAATTACAAATAAACCAAATCCTCTATGTTGTGCGTTCCTATTTTTCATTGCATTGATTGCTTCTCCAAACACAAAAAGCAAAGAAGGCATTTTCCTTCTCTGATGTTGGTAAGTGCTTGTAGAAATAGCTCTAAAATAATTTATGACAGTAGAAAATTGGCTAGAAAATGTCACTTAAATTTGCTGATGTTGGAAACAAGCCAGTGACTTTAACCAGATGCTGCAAAAATTGTCTCCAAGAATTCTTTTCCAATATTATTATTACTTAGGACCAGATCGCCGAGAGAGACAACAAATTTCACACTACACCTAAAAGGACTTTATGTCATGCAAAAAAGAAGGGGTTTTAATTCTGTTTTTCAGCCCTTTGCTAGCACCCTCATGACATCCCACAGGCATGGATAACAAAGATGAAGTGCTACATCCTCTAGTATAAATACACCCTTATTCCCATAATGAATTCTCACTTTGCAGGCACATTTTGAGTTTTCTTCACTCATATCTCATTACGGCATCAAAATTGCTGAAGCAGTCTTTTGTAGACAGTGTACTACATTTGTTTTGATTTTAGCTTTCTGTGGAGTTCAGCCCCAAGATCTGATTTACAAAAGAACTGCCCAGCATGGAATTGGGTCAGTTACTTCCATGTATTTGTGTTCAGGACTGGTTTAACTACTCCACTCCCCAAACCTGTTTCCTAGATCTTAGCACGACACATGAAAATGAGAGCATGCAGTTGTTTTTGTCAGACTAAAATCCTATGGGTCTCCTTTCATCTTTTCCCCTTTTCCTCCTGCCACCTGTTTTTGAGGACAGATCAGAATAGTTGTTCCTATGCTTCTGGCATCGAGTGAGAGTCAACAGAATGATTGTCTATGTCTTGGAAAAGAAAAAAAAAAATAATTTAACAATCATTAAGAAACAAATGAGCTATGAGCAGATGAAAACACTAATTAAAGTGAGAGGACATAAAATTAATAATTCAAGTCTTTATATCCTTACCATAACAAAAGAAAAACCCTTCCAGAGAGATATCCAGCCTTCTGGACATGGAGGAACTACAGTTGTTTGGCTGTGAACTGCTATTACCATTGCAGCTCCTTCGCATACAACACACCTGTAAGAAGAAACGCACATGCATTCAGTGGAGGTATGAGGGAAAACATGAAAGCAGACAAAAATTGTATCTTCTAGGATAGTAGCTACCTAATGGCACAGCTTACTATAACTTACACAGGTTTTCTCTGTTTGACGAGGAGTTAAGTAAATTGAAGGTAACCCAAATAACTTGCTCTGCAATTGCTTTGTAATCTCTACTAGAAACACCAGACAAAAGTTGATATAAGATAGGCATTAGTCCCAGAACATTTCAGCTTCCTAATTTTACCGAAATAACAATTTAATAACAAATTAATTTTATCTTCTTCATGCGCTCACTACTTTATGTTGTTATGGTCTAGATCACAGTTCTGCACCTTTATTTCCTAAGATTGGAAACAGTAATCTTTATTTCTTAAATGAAGAAACTATGAAGCTGATGTACTAGATTGCAACAACTGGGTAGAGCAGGCTAGAAGACAGAGTGCAAAGCTTGCCTTCCCGTCTTTGATTTTGCTACTCTTGGTCTTCCACGCTTTTAGAACTTTTCCTCTTAAGATGCTTTTCATCCTTTTCAGCTGTTCTAAAGCAACTAGAAAGGGCCACGTTTGCACAAGGGTGTTTCATAGCAGAGAACCTTCAGCCCCAACTTACAACGTTCATCAGCTACAGTAAATATATCATACATAATTGAAAGCAGAACTTGATTTGTACAGTATTCCAAATAATGAAGCTGTCTTTATCTTATTTCAGTGTGCTTCTAATATCCACAACAATAGGTTTTTCAAAAAATATCACTGCAATCAGTAGGACTGTGTGCCATCTTCTCATGTCAGCTATGCAGATTAAGCCCTATGGTGAGACCCTAGCTTTAATCTAACTTTTCTTAGAGTATCACTGAATATCTGACATATTCAGGTGAGTAATCAAAAATTAGGTAGTTAAAAATAGTGCTTGTACTGGCTGAGATGGGCAGGTCTTTGCCTAAGATTTGCTGCTCAAAACAATTTATGGCGTCTTTGTGGATCCAGGCCAGAAGATCTAAAATTCTTATACTCTTACCTGCTTATATGGGGCTCTAGTGCCCTGCCAGAAATCGGTGCCATGTCTACTGGCATTACTGCAGCAGTTGACAGCCAGTATGAATAGTCATTGCGAGAAGCAAAACTACAAACATTACTGGTGCTACAGAATAAGAATGGCATGGTGGTAAATCTCTGCAAGCAGCTACCAGCTGTTCCTAAAAGACAAAAGAGGAGAGGTTTGTGATAGAGAGGAACATAAATATAGTCCAGCAAACAGAAGAGATGCATTATGGCATCCAGTCTACTATAGTGAGAATTAAAACAGTTGGTAACTATAAAGATAGGAGTGTCTGTATAGTGCAATTATCCAAAAGCAAAATGCTTATGGTATATATAAAAATATGTATATAAAAAATAAAGGCTAAGAACAAAATCTGTTAAAATAACAACATCTTCTTGAATGATATCGGTCCTTGACGTAGCAGCAGGGATTCAGCTGCTTAAACAAAAGGTTCTGATGCCATTTTTGATACTCTAAAGCATTCCATTTGGTCTGCAAAAAAGCAAGATTCTCTCTCAGATCCTGTGTTGTTACTGTCAGCCCTGTGCAGATGTTGTTAACATTTATACTAGACATCTATCCATAAGTAACTGAATTCCTCCTAAAAAAAGACTAGCAAAAGAGGAATACAGGAGCGCAGGAAAGAAAGGTGTCTTTCAAGCCACGATTCCTGAATTGACTCAGAGAAGCAGACCACTCTGGAGACTGATGGTTGAAATCAGTGTTCATCTTGGACACTTCCTGTAAGTTTGGATTCATGATAACTTAGCACGAGTGGACTCTAAAAAAAGTGATCTGGAAATTTTTACCAATACAGTACCAAGATCTTGTCCATGTGCTCGTTCATTTCCTTGTACAAAAAGCAGCGAATAGCCAACATAGATCTGTGATGTCCCATGTGGGCATGAAGGAATTTTTGTTGATTGACTATGCCGGGTGAAGATAAAACCTCTTCTTGTTGGACCAGCAACGGTAGTACCTGGTGATCCAGGTAACCCTGGTAGACCTGGAAAGCCAATCAGTCCAGGTTGTCCTGTGGAGGGGAAAGAGATATGACTGCAAACGTTATCATTTTGTTCAAATGTTAACTTCATTTAAATCAGTGGAACCACTTGAAAACTATACAAAATTTATCTATAAGAAGATACAACTTGAAAATTGGTGGTATTTGTTGCTAGATATATTAACTCCTTCAGACCTAGCTCAGGTAGCTTTACATTGCATAGTTTCATGGAATAGAGATGTATTTTAACCATGGCCATTTTTACAAAAAAAAGTGTAAAGTAAACACATTTTATGGTGACTAAATGAAAATATTTAGTTCTATTTTGATGTCATAAAAAAGCACACTAATACCTAGGGATTTCAAGTGGATAAATAAATGTGATTAATAACAGAGGAGCGCAGTAAAGGCATATTTTCTAAATTATTATTTCAGTTGTGAACACGCATCTGTTAAAAGCTAAGAATATGCGTACATGTTCTTCTGGCCCTAAAGCTACTGTAAGTGTTGCAGAATCTCAATACATGCAAGAGGAATGATTTACAGAAATTAGGAATACAGTAAACTGTATTAGATAAACTGTAAATTCAGCAGTAGCTGTCAAGCAGACATGTCTGCTTCCCTGTACCTCTTTGTCCTGGAAATCCCCTGTCTCCTTTTGGACCAGGCAGTCCTGGTTGACCTGGATGACCAAACCTTCCTGGGAGACCTTTTACTCCTTTAGGTCCTAAATTGTAATCAAGAAAAAAACCAGAATCACACATACAGGAGTAGGTGTTCTAGATTTTAATAACTGTTAATGGATAAAGTTAAAATCCCCACATAAATGTAGCTGTGTTATGATGAAAACATCAGCATGAATTTACTAAGTTTTGAGACTGTCTGTAGTGTTACTGTCACCATATTTCCTATGAGGAAGATTACAAGGAAATACTGAATGGATCGCAGAAAAATATTATTCTCCTAAGAAATGTTTACAGAGACCAAAGCAAATAGCCTTTTCTTTTAGCATATGTCATACAACAGAAATATTTCAAAAATACAGTAATGGCCATAATCATCTCAGTCAAGGTTTGTAATTCTATCAATAATGCAGTTCCTTTGTAAAACAATTTTAAGGAAAGTGTAAAACAACAATTCTTTAGTGCCTGCTTTGTTATGCCGGAGGCAGCTGTCATTCCTGAGTGGGGCATGCCTTCTGGCAAGCCTGCACCCCTGAGGAGCTCCCTTCCTAGGGTGGAAAACTGTGGCATTGAGAAGGGTGGCCAAGTACCCACTGCACATCCACCTCATCCTACCTGCTCCTTGCTTCCCCATTCCTCACAGCTGTGTCAGGCTTCACTTCTAGTGCCAATGGAGAAGAAGCCAGCCTCTCCTTTCCCTTCCCACCCCAACACTATGACAGACACAATCTCTTTATAGCACGTCTAGAGTACTTCTATTCCATGTAGTAATTTCCACCTCAAAATGACAAACATCCTGACCATGGTTCTAGTTGTATGAAAACGGTGAATGTTTTGATCCAACTTTACTTTTTATTCCATTCTTTTGCCTAGGCTTCTGCTGAGGAAGGAACTTACTCACTGACTGCAAGTGTGGAAGGCAGATGGAACGGGACAGGTTGTAAATAGAAGGTTGTTAACAAGGTACAAGGAGCTATTTTTAAATATAGAGAGATATTTTTAAAGACACACCAATTTTCTATGCAGAAGCATGTCTTCCCACCAAACTAAAATGCTCCACTAAGCAGCACACACAAACATGTACAGAGATAAAAATATAAACCACCTTGTAGTCCAGGAATCCCTTGAATTCCTTGATCACCTGGTGTTCCGGGGATTCCTGGCAGCCCAGGAGGACCCTTGCTTCCTGGCACAGAGAATATTCTCCCAGAGACTCCAGGTGGACCTAGCAGCAAAAACATAACAAAAAGCTATTGCTTTATGTTAAAAGAAAGCAAACAAACTACAGAACAAAACAAACAAATCAACCTAAATCAGCTGTTATTAGAATAAGAAAGGTTGCTTACCATGCTGGCCCTTTGGTCCCCTTGGCCCTTCTGCACCTTGTGGTCCAGGGGGTCCTTGACTACCCTTTTCTCCTAAAAAAGAAGACTGGAGATATGTCTCTCTGGTTTAAGATGTCGAAACAACTGTCAAAGTTTCAGAGGCGTATTTAAGAGTCCTGCATGAACCATGCAGCCTTCGCAAAGAGTAACATAGCCTGTAGACTCATTTGAAATGCAAAAGTGGACTTCTACACCTCTGCTGTTACTGTGTAATTTATAGGCCAAGTGCAGTCAGTTTATAAGATGTTTCCATGCCTATATTCACACAATGGCTGGTCCCATAAACCTAGCTTAAAATCTCAACTTTAGACAATGTCCTTTTTATCTCATGCATTTGTCACTGAGTTTGCAGGTCAAGTGCTGCCTTCAGTAACGCTGTGAAGTTCAGCTCCCTTTAAACACTACTGTCAGTTATGCTGATAGCTGTTAGGAGGGTTGTATAGTTTTTCAAGTGTTTGAAACAGAGCAGTTCTTTTCACTGTGCAAAATATGAGGTTACATCCATATTACTCCCCACACCTCTGCTGGAAATAAAAAATAAAAATGTATTTTTATCATGTCAGGAGATTTGACTGATCATGCAATGAAATGAGAGCTTTTTGCTTAAGAAAGTAAAATTACTGTCTGTATGGCACCTTTCAAATTGGAACAAATTTAAAACACACAGTAATTAGCATGGAACACAAACCAGTACATTAAATGGGTAATGACGATTTTGTGTCACTGCAAATCATGTAACTGAAAAATGAGGATATTGGAGTAATGCAGACCTATATCAGATTTAAATCACTAGAAAAATGTCTAAATTAAAAGGATTTTCAGCCAGCTACTGATCCAACTAACCCTCAAGAATATGAAATTAATGAAACCAATACATTTAATAGTTGTCTGCTGATAAACTGGTGAATTAGATTATAAGTAGAACTTTTCTTACAGCAAACAGTGGACCCAGTGCTCTGTGTTGTAATTATGATTAAATGCTCTTGAGTTCTATAGCTATGAGGTTGCCAAAAAGTCACATCTTCTAGCAGTAGTGGGGCATTTCTAATTAGCAGACTCAGTCCCAAAGTCCTTACATATGCATTAGTCACTAAGGACAAACTTGTTTTGAATTTGGCTGGAATGGAGGCCATTGAGTTTTATCCCTTCCTCACTTTAACATCAGTTTGGATATATCCATAGTATCTAACTCAAACAAAATGCTCTTTTAGGGAATGCTTTAATTTACAGCTGACCTACACCCTGCTCTTGATGGAAAAACCTCATGTCTCTAGGACCTCACCTGGTACTATTACACACATACTATTATAATGCAACATGTAAATGACTATTTGGCACACAGATGTGTGTGTAATAAATACATTAATACCTTTTACACCTGGGAATCCAAGAAAGCCAGGGTCCCCTCTAGCACCAGCATAACCTGATCGACCTTCTATTCCCTGCAAGTCAGATAACACCAATAATAAACAGGAAGCAGCATCTGCACACTATGAGGTACATTTTCTTTTTGTTCAGAATATTCAAAGTATTATGTTCACAGAATATGCTACAACTAGAATTATTGCTGCATTTGTGAGCATGTTAGAAATAGTCATATCATTGTTAATATTATTCTATAATACAGAATGGCCAGGGAAATGATATGCCAGAAATTCACAATAATTTCTTTTTTGCTCCACTTAAGTCGATAAAAACTGCTTTTCATATCCATTTTAATATCTTTCCTCTATTACAAGGTTTTTTTGGGGAGAATTTGTTGGGGATTTTTTGTTGTTCTTTTTTTGTTTGTTTTAATTGTCCTGGGTGTTATTTTCATGGTAAGAGTAACATTAACAATGGAGTAAGAAACGAGCAGTATTCCTGTCACTGACTTTTGGACCGGGAGGGCCAATGTCGCCAGCTGGGCCAGTTGGCCCTGGTACGCCATCTGCACCTCTAACACCTTTGCTTCCTTTCATGCTGGGAGTGGGAAGACCAGGAGGCCCTGGAAAACCAGGAGCACCTGCACAGAAACATTAAAGTAAAGACTAGTGCCAACAGCATTTCACATACGTCACATATAACGCAGTACAACATTCAACGATTCTATAATGGTACTCATGTTTACCATCTCAGATTCCCAAGGAAATATACTCATTTAAAAAAAATTCAACTAATTTTTCCTAGTCTGCTAATTTAAGATGAGAGCTGAGTTTTTGCAGTACTCTATAGCACTACAGTTTTTTTAATATTCTCCAGTTGTAATTGTGCCTGTAATCACATTTGTGCTATTTCACTTCTTTAAAGTTGGATCTCAGCTGCCCTACAGACTGCATGGGAAGAAAGCAAAATAATGCAATCAAGTGGACTGCAAAGCTTAACTTTATTTTAATTTAAATCATGCTGCATAGACCTTGACAGTGTTTGCAGTAGTAACATTGCAGTAACTGGTAAAGGAACTACCTGTTTAATTATTATGCTCTCTTGGAGGAAGAGCACTTTCAACCTTGAGTTCTAGACAGGCTGAATTCTGCTTTCAATTATCAGTATATTTCAGATAAATAAGGAGTTATAAACAACACACCTGGTCTTCCATTTGCACCAGCAAAACCTCTATTCCCTTTTTGGCCAGTGATTGCCATGCCTGTTGCACCTTGAAATCCAGGTAACCCCACTAAGCCAGGAGGTCCAACGGGTCCTTGATCACCTTGATGACCTTTCATACCTGGTGGCCCAGGAAAACCAGGCAGTCCCATGTTCCCTTTGATTCCTGCAAAATGGAAGTATTATGTATGGGGAGAGCTGTCAAGATGATGTGACTACACAGAATACGTGCATTTACTATACTGCAAAGGTGGAATTCAGCCTTTGTTTTTAGTATGAAGTCTCCAAAGCCACCTTGCTACTCTAAAGCAAAATAGTTGTGAGAAGACAGTACTCATTGCAAGGCAGTGTACACACCATGCTTTTTTCTTTTCCCCACATTTTTCTTTTCCTTTTTAAAACTCCACTTCAGAGATTGTTCATACAAAGGAATAAACTTGAGACAAGGGAGAAAGACCAGAGCACTTGATGCACGAGCAGAAGAAATGCTTCTTTGAACATCAGAACTAGCAAATTCTTTTAAACTAAATTCCTGCTAAAAGCATCAATATGAGTAAAATAAAGTAAGAGACGGCTCCAAAAGGGTATTGTTCTAAGGTTGATCTTAGAGTGCATGACCTATATATAGAGGGCATGAAGACAGAATTTTCTTTTTTTTTTTTTTTTTGAAGTAAAGCAATTCAATGGATTTCTACCAGTACTAGAAATACAATGAAAAACTTAAAAAATGGGAAGAGTCCTCTCAGTCAACTGTTCATCAATAAAAAAGAGGCGATGAACAAAATTAAAATGCAATCACTGTAGCTTTCTTACAGTATGCTTGGTATTCAGCACCATCACGTATTTTCATTAGAACATACTCTGTTAATCAAATTATATATCAAAATAAAATTTCAAAAGCTCTAGAATGTGTACATCACTCTCACAAAACCACAGAAGTTAGCTTCTTCATTTCCCTTTTACAACAGTCTTAACTTTACAAGCAAGAACTCTTGACATTTCATATATAGCACCAAATCATTGACCAAAAGTGCAGAATCACTCTTGATTTCCTCTGGCACTCTTCGTGGCATTCCAAGTATCCAAAAGCAGGAAGCAACCTGAAGATAAAGATGATGATTCTGGTATTCAAAAATTAAGCTTTTGCTTTCTGAAAAGACAACTCACCTCTATGACCAGGAATACCTCGAAGGCCAGGGATTCCTCTCCCTGGTGTTCCTATAAAATATTAGGTCCCATTATACTCAAAGTTCTGAATAATTGTTAGAAAACATCATAGTTGTCTAATATTTCATACATTTCTTCACAATTCACTGAATCAAAATGTCGATTTTAATTATACGCAAAATATAATTTATTTGTTATTCCCATTTCTCCTACCAGAAATACAAATCAAATTTGTAACTTTTTCTTTATAGTAGAAACGCTTGATTCATATTTGAGGTACATTTTACAATAATAAGCTTTGTCTTTTTTCAGAGGAAAAAAAAACAGAATAAAAATCTGCATTTAAGTTAGTTACTAAAAAAATAGAGGAAGAAATGTAAATACCAAAAAAGGAAAATATGTTAACAGTGATTACTTCAAACTTAATACGAAGAAACTTAGTAAATGCTTCCTCTGTGTCCTCTTTATATTAATACGCAAAGAAACATTTTCACCGTAAAATATGAAAACACTTTCTATCAGAATTCAGTAGAAGACTAAATCTATCTGTGGACCTTGATGACATCAGGAGTGACATTTAAATGAAAGATTTACAAGCCAAGGGCCAGGTCATGGAAACCTTCACTACTCATGTAAGTAAACACTGCGATTATTTCTATCTTATTTCCACATAGAGAGATTTCTTTAAAAGGATTTTGGTTCTTTTAATCTCCTTGAGATTAAACATGTAAGAACTGTTAACAGCAATACTTCAGTTCTTGCAGACTTGAACATTTTTAGGGGGAGTTATGACAAATCACACGTATAACAGAGCAGTGACATAAGCATTTGGGTTGTTATATATAAACATATAATACATTTCATATATAATTGATATAAATCAATTTCAGTCTTAAGATATTACAACAATTATGTGGAAAAACCTAGGAATTATGTAAAAGTCAAACCTTCTACTTATAAACTTTGGCTCCACAGAAGCTCCTTATTAATCCTTCCCAAATAATCCTTGCCAGTTTAACTAGGGAAAAAAAAAATTGTAAAACAGAATGAAAATATTTCACTGGTCTTACCTGGTTCTCCCTTTACTCCTTGGGGACCAGGCATACCATCCTGACCTTGATTACCTCTTTCACCAACAAGTCCATTTTTTCCAGGGTCTCCAACAGCCCCTGTGAATTATAATGGACCACAATATAATTTTCACTTCTATTATTTTGCATTTCAAAGGGAGAAGATATGAGTTCCCTTTATTAAAATGTAACTAGTTCAGCTGCTTCAAAGATAGATGTAACTGTGTTGGTATATAAACATTTGAAAAGAGCAGCATATAATTTTCATTGAGCTCACTGGACTTCAATGGATTTAACACTCTCGCTACTTTCACAGGCAGTAACTTCCTGTCTTTCAAAGACGTTTTAGGATGCTGCCTTTGATTTAACCCACACTGGTGGGAATCCATACAGGCAGCGTAGTTTATTTCCCTGGCTTTATTACAAATTCAAGGTTTCTCTAAAGAGTGAGTAGATTCTGATCTTTGCTAACTCTGCTGGTAAGTCAGTGCAAGTTCACTAAAGTCTACAAAACCACATCATAATTTTGATGAGGATGCCTGACTGTAAGATCATTCAATGCTCTTTTTGAAGACAACGATTGGCACTGACTTTATTAAAGTCTGCATTGCATAACTCTCTGTGGCTGCATATGTACACACTCCCCTTTATACATATTTTGAATCGTTAGATCTTTTCTGTTTGCTTTAACAAACAACTGCAACTCTGTCCCCTCTTTCCACTCTACTTCATTTTCTTCTCCTCATCTAGGTACATCTTAGTTTATTATTCTCTTTTTGTACAGTTGTGTGGATATCACATCTTGAGACCTCTAGATGAAAAAAAAAGGCAAAAAGCTTTGTGAAACAAAACTTAAACCTCTTGCTTTAGCTGAACTGATAACATTGAAAACAGACTGTTAAAAACCTTAGCTGGAACCAGCGAAGGTAAACAAAGCCTTGAACTAACATAAACAGAGACTGCAACTGCATCAGTTAAATTCTAAAAAACTCAGAACAACAAGAACATCGACTGCCTCATTACAAGGAAAATAAGAAACTCGGGGACAGTGATTTGGGAGAGATGCTATATACAATACCAGGAGGGCCTGTAATGCCCTGCTGTCCTGGGCGGCCCTGCCGTCCTTTAACACCAATGTCTCCAGGAGGTCCAAGCTTTCCTGTAAGGAGAAATAGTGTGGGAGATGTGAAAAGGCATTATCACTAGATCCAGACTCGGTCACACTTCGCTAACATTTGTGCTTCGGATAGCTATGAAAGATCTCTAGCTGATGTAAGCCAGCCTGGCTGTACTAACTGCAAAGGAGCTGTTAGGTCTACAGCAGTTGAATATAAATGTGCCACCTCACGGGCACCTTGTGAAGTTTATTTTGAAATTATCTTTTAGAAGCATGTCAACATCTCACCACCCCTCCAAAAAAACCACATACCTGGGATTCCTGCACCTCCATTTTCCCCTCTGATCCCATGTGATCCTGGTACTCCTTTATGTCCTGGATGACCTTGGGATCCTTTTTCTCCTTTGCTACCCAAAACTCCTGGGGGGCCTGGATCTCCCTGAGAAATAGCAGTTGCACATAAACAGGTAAAGAATCACATTACATGAAATACATTACATTCCATATTTAAACAATAGAAAAATCATATATAATTTTAAAGGTTAAGTGCAATCATGGGTCAATATGATTTTCAGACAAAGATCAAAGTAGCCTAATAAGTCTTCTCCTAATACCACTGATCCTTTAGACATAGATAAGAAAAAAAAGACCTTTAATCTATATAAATCAATTTCAGTCTTAAGATATTTCAATCGTCACATAGACTTCCCTTCAATTTTATTCTAAGAGCTCCTCTTTTGATCCAAACATACATTCCTTAGGTAATATGTGACTATACAAAATAGCAAAATGCATATTTTTCCTTGAATTCCTACTGACTTTCATGACACAGTAATCTCACTGTGGCTACCCAGCTAATACAGAAAATCAATAGATAATTCAGGCAGGTTAGAGGAGTTATGGTACAGTTTACATCCTCAACCACGTATTTTGTATAATCTTATATGTAAAAAGACTCCCAGTTGTTCAAAAACCAGAATATGTGGAGTAATACTGTACACAATTCACCTAACTTAGATACTTTTTTCTTAGCAATATATATCATGTTTAGTAATATATATTGCTAAGCAAAAAATCAATTCATATTGTGTGATAATATTACTAGACTATCAAAACTCAACAGCACAATTTAAGATTACAAAACTTTTGCATTTGTTAAGATTATGTTTTTCTGTACTTTTTAACGTACAAGTGTTCCTACTGCTGACTTTTTAAATGCAAGTCCTTGTTCTTAACAAATTAGCAACTTTTACAAATCAAAGTTATTTCCAAGATCTTCCATCTTTACAAATAAGAAATTCTTGCACCAAGAGAAAAATGAAATATAATGAATGCAAAAATTTCTCCTGAGTAATGACACAATTGGATTTTCTTATTTCTTACCACTGCAAAATTATCTACTTCTGCAAAATCTGCAGCTCTTGCTTACATGTTATTCTGTTTCTATAGTCAAAGGCTCTGCTTATTTCCTAATATGAAAATTATTCCATTGCCTTTATACCTTTGGACCAGGTTCTCCTGGAGGCCCAGCAGATGGGTACCCAGGGTCTCCTTTGTCACCTGGAAAGCCACCATAACCCGGTGGACCAGGGTCACCTGATAGTCCTGGAAAGCCTGGTGATCCCTTCTGACCTTTTGGACCTGGAGAAATACAGATACTGATACCATTCTTGAAAGGATCATAACTGCATACCACACCTTGTGTTTTGTGAACTGCTGGTTGTATATTAAGATACTCATTCTCCATTAATGTAATTTATACAGTCAGTGATTTTATTTCTAAACACATTAAAAAGAGGTTCTTACATGTAACAATACATAAATTAAAGAAGTTACATTTCATTTAGAGAGAGGGAGAACTGCATTCTGCTAGTCAAGCAAATGCTGGGGTGGTGAGAAGTCTATAGGTACTGCAAAGAATAAATCCCAGTCTAAGTATTGTGTAGTGCGCTTACAGTAACTGCTCGGATCTGGGCAAATGCTTCTATACAGCTCTACGAGTTTGTAATATGGCTTGATAGAAAATGACCTGGAATTCCCATGTCCCCTTTGTTTCCTGGTGCCCCTGGGAATCCTTGTCCTCCAGGAATCCCTGGAAGACCCATAAATCCTTTGACACCTGCAAGATGAAGAAATAAGTGTAATCTTCACGTTTGTTTTAGACACTGGCTGGCTGGTAGAGCTGTCAAGAATACAGAATCCTCTACCGCCCAACTTGTCATGGTATCTTATTGTTTTATAAATCAACATGCAGACAAAGTATAAGCCTTCCTCTTGCCCCAGACACAGATAAAATTATCATATTGTTGTCAGAAAGTCAAGGAAATAACAAGCATTTTATGTATCAACACTAAAATTGAGGTTTGCGACCCCTTGCAAATTTTAATCAAGATCATGAGTTTGTATTTACGCACTGGATTCTCCTCTCATTGTGCCCCTGAGTTCAGCCTGGTTTCTGGGCATGCCACAGTCACATTATTACTTACTCATAATGCACTTCATGACTAATATACTCAAGAGCTTTTTCTTATATGGCTTAGGCATATTTTCCCCCGCTCACTTAACTTCAACTTGATTTAAAATCTAATTTAAAAGCTCATCAGCTTTTAGATTTTAAAGTTATTATTATTCAAGATTTAGTATTATTTTCTATTTATCACCCCAAACAACAGTCGATATTTGGAAGGAAACAAAGAATCATTTGGTGGTAGCTGCTATGATTTTCAAATAGAGCTTTTGAAATTGCTCAGTTTCAGAATGCTCAGAAAAGATTCAGAGTGAATACAGAGAATGTAGTGCTGCTGCTGGAGCAGAGTTTATGTGGTAGCATTGAGGTAATATTATCCCTACCCTCCACGTGATACAGTAATCTTCAATATACGCATTCCATACCTGGTAGACCAGGTATTCCTTCAGACCCATCAAGACCTGGGGGACCTTGCACACCGGCATCTCCTTTTTCTCCTCTTAGACCCATTCTTCCTTGAACTCCTGAAAGAAAAGTTTCATGAAAAAAATATTACAGAACAACATATCAGAACATAAATTTTATGTACAGTTTAAAGTTTTATAACTCTTAAAACTAATGAAGCAGAAGCAGAGCATAGGATTTTCACTCTGTGAACACACACAGGCAAGGCACAAGCTCACAGTTAATGTCTTCCGTATTTCTCAAATGGAGACAAAAGGAAGATTCTGAAAGCTTCCATAGGAAAATGTCTACACAAAAAGCCAGATAGCATTAGTTAAGCATGTACAACTCAATACAGAGAGTCTATACTAATATTGCAAACAAGGGAATTCCTCTGACAGTCAAGTGCGTCTGAGCAGACTCAATTTCTTTGCAATCCAGCATCTAGTTGGTAAGCACACTCATTTCTGTGCTCGTGGGCTACTAAGTATGTAAAAACATGGATGTATAGTGTGGATGTATATAGGCATCCTAGTACTACTGACATATTAATACTGTTTTGACACTACAATAAGAGGTTTTTTTAAGGAATATGGACTTGTTAAAATGAAAACAAATATTAAATGTAATATTCAAATACCCTATAAATAAAAAGGCAGTTACAATCTTCGGCAATAATTATTTCAAAGCCACGTGAATGCTCTCAGTAGTAGAGTCAGTTTCTTCCGTGTTTTAGAGTCCATTGGAACTGCAACATAGATGACAACCCTAACTATTTTTTAATGACAGAACAATGAATGTGTACCTTTTAAGCCTCGTTCTCCTTTAGTCCCAATGCCAACCAAGGTCTCGGATGGTCCAGGGAAACCTTTATCACCTGGTTCACCTTTTGCTCCAAGAAATCCTTTTCTTCCCTTTAGTCCTGGGAAGCCAGAAGAACCTGCAAGAAAATATAATGAAATTTTCTGAAGAAACATGACAGGACGATAGTATAAAGGAAGCAATGAAATTCCTGTCTTCAAGGGTAACTACATATGGAAATACACATTCCAAATCAACAACCTAAACTAGCTTCTTAATTACTCCAATCATCAATAAAACATCTGAATACAGATTATGGGAAGAGGTGGCAATTCTTTCTTATACTGAATATATGTATAATCTTATATCTGTTGAATAGATATAATAATTATATTTGGAACATGAATGGGATAGAAAAAATAGAGCAAAAAAGCTCTGCTCAAATCAGTAGCCACTTTTACAAATACCAATGAAATAGAAAAAGTGGCAATTCAAAACTGCTAAAAAAAAAGCTAATAATGATGTCATTCAGTTTGTAGTCTGCACATATACAGAAGTCGAAGACCTACCATGACTCAAAGAAATTCTGGTATGACACACATACTCAGGAGTGATAAAATACATCAAAATGGATCACAAGACTACTTCAGCATGGAAGTTTCTATATTCTAAGTAATAATGAAGGCAGATACTATGGCCACTTGCCTCTGATGCCCGGGTTGCCTGGTCTTCCAATCATGCCAGGGGGTCCAGGAGTTCCTAACAGGCCCATTATACCTGGCTCTCCCCTTGAGCCTGTAGAATTGAGGCAACAGGAACATATTTGTTAGTACTTGATCAGTGAAACAGAATATTACTTCAGAAAACTACACATCTGCCTGTCATTTAAGTGTTTAATTGCTTATTTATTTTTTTCTCCGTTTCTATAACATACTGTTGAAGTTAGTTTTCTAGTCTTTAACCACATCAACAGTACTTACACAGTAACCCCCAAACCACCTAGATTAGTAGTTGCAACAGCTTCTATCAATGAATGAATTAACTGATTGAGAACAATGTGTCATCTGAGATATCCACACAGGGATGGGAAAGCTGTCATGGCATGTTCTGGCTCAGGAGTTGAAGGCCAGCTGGCACATGACAGCTCCCCTTAAATGATGTCTAAAATCTAGGTTTGTGCCACTGAGTCAAGCACTACACGTTTATCGTTAGTTTTATAGGTTGTATCTATAAAAAGATATGTACCATCTCCTTCCCACAGAATAAAGCAAGATTTGAGAGTAATGGGAAATCTTTGTCCATACTTGATTTCTTTTATTCTACAAATCAAATTTGAGCACATTTCCAAAAAAAAACCCAACAAACCCACCTGAAAAGGATTACCTACCTTACTTAAAGTTAGTTCTGGTTAAAGTGACAGAGTTTGACCCGACTCAACTCTGTCAGACTCAAGGTCTGTACTTGCTTATTGAAAATAATAGGACAGCATTAACAAGCTATCTGTTTGAAAAGGGATGCTGAGTAAGAACTATTAAACACTTTACACTTCCATTACGCTGAGGACTTGCTTTGAATATTAACTAGTTTATATCCTACTGCAAGGACATTACAGGACAAAGCACAATGTAAGGCAGCCTTCTGTTCTCAGAAGAGTTATAGAAAATTCAGTACTATGTCATGACAGCTTCAAGATATGCTTATCATTTACAGAATGATTTATTCGTTTTCCATACAGATCTCAATGATATATGAAAGCTGTTGATAGAAGAATATTTCAGCATCTTCAATTTGGAAAACCATAACTGATACCTTTCTGTGGAGACTGACTTAATTTCTATGTCAAAACAAGTATCTGGGGAATCCGTACCTGGCACACCAGAGATTCCTGGCCTTCCAGACTGTCCCTTGGGACCAGGTAATCCTGTATTTCCCTGAAGACCTATTAATCCAGGTTCCCCAGGCTCTCCATAGATTCCAGGGATACTCAAGCCAGGAGGACCTAGTTTTCCTTTTGAACCTTGCAAACCTCTTCCTCCTAAGAAAAATACATGACACTGTAGTATGGTACATCTGTCTGGAAAATAAACCTTCATCTCTATCTTGCCATCAAGTGCATGAAAACTATTGAACTCTGCCTGTTTGAGGGCTAAACGTTAGATCTATAAGACAATATACAGGTTTGGGAAATCTTGTAAGAGTTGTAGTAGTGTTTAGGAGTTTAAAAAGAAAAAAAACAAACAGATGAGTAGACAATTCTGTTCTTTCTCAGAAAGAGAAGAAAACACCAAACAAAAAACCCACTGATTCTGCATTCATTCCCAAATAAACCCAAACAAACAAACAAATCCCATATTTTTTTTTTTTTTTAAAAAAGTCTTTTTGAGATCATATATAGGACAAGGACTGTGGTGGGTACCTGATAGTGTTTCTCTTGGAACAGAAATCATAAGCAGTATATGCAAGTACTTTTGAGTACCTAAAGTGGTTTTCTACGTAGCTGAGCTCTTTCTCTGTTTTGCTCCTTTATCAATCACATTGCACCAAGGAATCTAAGTTCAGCTCCATGTAGGAGACGTGACTGAAATATCCTTTTTCCTGCAGAATTCAGGCCAGTTTATGATTACTCTTTGCACTGTACAAGGGAATCTGAATGTTAATCCATCTTAATCAGTGCATGTGTTTCCTCCCATCTGCAGAAATTGTATCTTGTAAACGGGCTCTCATTTTCTCACATACTGTCCTACAACCAATATCCAAAACCAAGTTCAGCTCCCTCAGGCCACTGGAAGGCAGAACAAAACCCAGACCCACCCAGCCAAATGGCACATTTGGTTCAGAATGTCCTACCTGGTGGACCTGTAGCTCCCTGGCCACCTGGTAAACCTGGCAGGCCAATAAGACATTCAGCAGGTTTCCCTGGAAAACCTGGATCTCCAGGAACTCCAGGTGAGCCACGATCTCCTAAAAGAAAGGAGACTGGATTCACAATGATTTAAGTAGAAGTTTCAGGCTTTAAGTGAGCATTGTTTGACTTGGCTTCCCTTTCCTTAAAATAACTTGCTGTGCTCTTTGGAGCTTGTTGGACAACAGTACCTCTTAGGCCATGATCACCATCATGTCCAGTACGCCCTGGTAGGCCTGGAAGTCCTGGAAATCCAGTATCACCCTTTAAGCCAGGAA